AATCTTCCCGTGTTCGTGGAAATATACGTTCAGGTGTTGCAAATTGCTGGCCCGCAAAGTAGTCACAGAGAGAGAGAGAGAGAGAGAGAGAGAGAGAGAGAGAGAGAGAGAGAGAGAGAGAGAGAGCTGGCTTTGAGATCACCCCGGAGCGCCTCCAACGGCAGTAAGGGCGTGCTAAAAAGTTGGATGGTACCGGTAGGGGCATCCCGAAAATTTTCCTGCTGGCTTTTAACGGCCATCCGGTAGGGGCATGCCGCAAATTAGGGACCGGTACTTGTAGGGGCGTGACGAAAACATTTGAGGCCCAAACGACACCAGGGTCTTATGGAAAATTTGAACCCTGCTCAGAGGGGTGCGACAGGGTAAACCGGCCATCAGAGGGGCGAGACGCGAAATAACGCAAAATACAGGGGCGCCAGGCCAGCCATGGGCCTCCAGGGCGCGCTGTCGCACTTTTTCCAATCAGACCACTCTCAGCGATCAGAAGGACAACAGACTGTCACGCAGGATATTGCTGACTTTGCAATAACCCGCTCAAATGTGCTTATGTCGTCGGCCAAGGGGGCGACCCACAGGCCACAGTTTCAGCCTCAACCAGGCCCTGCGTCCGACTGTGTGAAACAAGGTCCCTGAAACGAGGCTTCAGAGGCCCTGCGCCCGACAGTTGACCAAAGTCAAGTGTAACTCCGAATATTGAGGCTCACGAGTCAAAGTCTGCAAGGACTCAGTCCAGGCCACCGATCAGACACACACACTTGGCTGTACGCAGGTATCCAGGCAGCATTTGGTCCAAGTGGAAGTCTGTAACTGGACGCGATCCAGGCCATCGGCTGTGAGTCAATCTGAGCCTTTGTACTTGAGAGACCAGAGGCTGGTCAACGGCGTCAACACTATTTATTGACCCAGCCCCTGGGGGTCAACATTCCGTCTTGTAATCGCGATCTGGACATTGACACGTGTGCGCGCACCTACCTGACGAAGATGATGACGTGGACTTGAAGAAGAAGAAGACGGTGACATTGATGACGTGGCGCACTGTTGCTGAGGTGGCGAAGAGCATCGTTGGCTGTGGTGCTGACGTGGCGCAAGAAGATCGATCAGAGAGAGAGAGAGAGAGAGTGAGGGGGGGGGGGAGGAACTGCAGACGTGGCATTGCGCGGGCGCTGCCTACGTGGCAAGGCGCATGGGTGCTGACGTGGCATCCAAGAATCAGCAGGGTAACGTGGCACTCACCTGTGTTGCGGCTTACCTGCTGACGTGGCGCTTCCAGATTTCAGCGGTATCTTCAGTTTGACGAGGCATACGAGTGACGAATAGGCTTGGCAGATTGCGCGCTGCTGATGTGGCATACCAGTTGACGGCCTTGCTGCCCATTGACGCTGATGTGGCATCCTCCGTGGATGTGCTGCGTTAGCCAGATTGGGATGTGACACGTGGCAGGAGAAATTGCACTGCCATTACGTTTGAAGATTGGTGGGGACCGACACTTGCACGTGGTGCACCGACGGGCAGTATGGCACAAGGTTATGCAGTAGTGCCATGCATCAGTCCTGGTGCCTGGCACGAGTATCTGCAGTGAGACAGCAGGAGGCTGGGCAGCTGACACATTGACTGTTTGTTTGTTGACTCACCTGTCGTAGGCTGTTATGTGGATGCTTGCTACTCACCAATAGACAAAATTGAAGAATCTGAATTTTCTATTGTCTTTTTAAGTTTATTGTGGGGCAAACTCACTAGTTAGGATGACTTTTGTGTGAAATTGTCTGCGTGTGTCCATTCTGACCCGTTTCATTCCCCATCTCTTTTACCCCATCTCCATCACTCTTTTTGCTGATGAAGAAGAGTTAGTAATGAAATCCCGTGGCCAGATTGATGACCGACGGCAGCTAATGCTGAACCGTGTTCGTACATTGCGCCAGGAGATGCAAGAAGCTGGGCCCGAGGTTGGACAGCATGTACGCAGCCTGTTCGATCTACGGGCAGCAAAAGACGAACTACAAAAGGCTGAAACTGCTCTCCAGATGTTGGGAGCCATTGGAAGAGTGCAGCAAACAATTGATCGAGCACAAATTGCTATTGATCATTTCGTTGCCGAGCAATTTGCGAAGATGACGAGAGGAGAAGAGGCCAAAGAAGAAGGGGAGGCGAATCATCTGAAAGAAAAGAAGAAATGACAGAAGCAGTGGACGACGCTATCATACAACTGCAGACTGCATTGGAAGCAGAATTGAAAAAGATAGGAGTTTATCAGAAGGAGAAGAGGGAAAAAGAAGAAAAGGCAAAGAAAGAAGAAGAAACTAGACAAAGGTTTCATATGAATGTGGAGGGTTCAAAAGTTCACTTGGCATCAGTTTAGCAGAACATGATGGCTTACCTCGCCCATTTGGAAATAAAGATTGACAATGTCACCGCCAAACTGCAGACGGTGACAAGATTACTGAAGGGAAAGAACAAAGTGGTGCATGAGGAGAAGGCCAAGGGGAAGGAAG